TTGACTAACCAGAAACAGATGAGCCCCAGTGCTTTTCAACACCCTCAACAGCAGCTGCAATGGCCTTTCCTTTCTCAGCTGCCCTTTCAAGTCGAGCGATGGCATCATAAAGACATTTTGCTATATCAAGCAAAGCAATAACCTCTCCATTTTCCACAACCGGCAAATGTCTGAATTTTCCTGTGGCCAGTTTGACAGTGAGTTATTGAATAGGCTCGAAAGAATCAACCATTTGTGTTATTTAAATATACCAACCTAGCACCATTTTCTGCAAGGCTTCTACAGCTAGTGTGTCAGAAAGCACAAAAACAGGATTTTTCGTCATGATCTTTGAAACTGGTGTTTCCTGAATATTAACTTCACGAGCAATAACCCTTGTCGCTATGTCCTTCAATTTCCCAAAGAAGAAATGAAAAGGATGCAAAGAAAAGTTAGTTTAAGGTATTTATTTATTTTTTGTTAAAAGGAAAATCTCATAACTTGATTTTATTTGGCGGGATTATGACAATTATGCAAGATTTAGTTAAACCTTATCTGTCAGGATACCGCACAGCAATGCATTTGAGTCAGTCAGCAATAAAGCATCAACTCTGCGAGCAGCCATCCTGCGGCAAGCTTCATAAATACTTGTACTATCAGGTACGGTTAGGGCTTTCGACAGTCGCAGTCTCTTGACTGTCCGCTCTCCAGTCAATCCCCTGAAACAAATGTGTAGGAGAACCAAATATTATTACTACAAGAAAGGATATATCAATGATCACTTTGACTTGGAGAGTTGGAGTAGTTGGAGTAGTTGTTAACCCCACCCCTAAGCTGAACTCATGATTTTTAACATTCAGCACATCCACTAGCATAATCATTTCCAGCCATGACTGTCACTTAATAGATTTGCCACTCTGTGGTCAAGAAGTTAAGGATAAAGTAGTGGATGGATTTTAATGGCTAAGCAATGCTTTAAAGATAGAACTAATTTGTGTATGAAACAAACTCAACCAGCCCAAAAGAAAGAACTTAGTATAGCCAATAAACTGAATAAGCAAAAACCTCTGGCAAAATTGTGCAGCATAATCACTCGCAGCATTTAATGCGTAGCAATATACAACCACGTAACACACACTCGCTTTAATATTGAACATGAGGATGTAGCAGATAAGGTACGTTAAGATTAACATAGTTTTTCCATGTATAATTTTAGATCTATATGGAAGTCCCTGTGCCCATGTCCTACCAGCTTAACGTGGATGCATCCATGTAAAAAATCATCTATATGCAACTCCAATTCACTCAATCTATGCCAGCAGTTAATTTAGTTTACTTTGACTTGATGTAACAGTAAGATAGCGACCAGTATGCATGGATTCCAGTTCTAAAAACATAATTTCAAGAATGCAAATGCATTAGGAATACGCTCTTCCATTTTAGCTTTGGAGAACCGACACATAAGTCATGGATATTCCCTGCACCAGAACACAGCTCCAGCTCCAAATTTCCAATATTTGAAATAAATAAAACAGCTAGGCTATGAAAGTATCTAGTACAGCATATATAACCAACATTCTGTCACACACTTAATTGTTTTGCTTAGATTGCAGGATAACGGGAGCAAATTGAACCTAGAGCTCCCCAAAATTCTCAATCAATCCAACCTGATAAACAAACCACTTATCCACTCCCTAAATCGGTGAGTGTATATATACCACACATACATACATAAATATCCTTTCATAACCTTCAGGAATCAGGATATCGAGCCTCAAGCGTTGAATCATACATAACGAAATAAATATGAGTTTTCCTTTTATACACTACAGGAATCATTGCAATCGAATTTTAACAACAAAGGATGATCAAAATATTGGGCAAATGAATATCGAAACAATTGAAAAACAAGGTGCATGAGGTTGATAACATGAGAATAAAAACTCACATGGAACGAGACATCGACATAGACTTTCGGGTGCCGGAATCAGGCTGTCCACCTCCATTTTCATGAGCGGTTGCTTTCTTCTTCAAGTTGGACGTCGAGCTCGTCAACGACAACGAACTCCTCCTCGACAAGGATCCTCCTCCGTGACTCGTTGTCATCTCAACTCCAATCCCAATCCAATCAAACAAAATTATTCACCTGAATCTTCAAATTAAACCTAAGAATAAAATAACATAAATATACAAAATTGTTTTCAAATAATGATAGCAATCTGCAGATAATTTTGTCGTCGTCAAATATGAAGATGCCTTTTTTCCGGGAAAATTCTTCAGATGAATTTCCCGGGAAAACGGCAAAGAGGAAGAGGAGGAGAGAGAAGGACCTTTTTTAGAAATGGGAGAAAGGCAAGAAAGGAATGACAATTGCAATTGAAAAGTTTTGGGAGGACGCCAAGTGTTTAGAGAGTTTGACCAATAATATTGTGCCACGTCAATCGATGTCCGCCTCCGGAATATGATCCCAATTTCACTGGAAACGTGCGGCGTTGAATTTTAGATACTCAAATTTTGTTTTCCTTTTTGGGATTTTACGTCCTTTTGCAAAGAAAAAACATAAATTCTATATTCTTAAATATATAATGTGAATTTCGATTACCGATCACGTTAGTTTAAGTTAATTTTAACTGTTTTTTGGATAATTATACAAAGAGACAGATCATTATCACCACATTATTAATGATTCAATATAAATAAAGAAATTAAAAAAAAAATGGGCAAACGAACAACGTGGTATGTGGTGAGTGGTGACCTTGCATAATGTTTTTTTAGATTTTAAATAAATATAATTTAATTGCTTCTACACACAAAACTATTTTCCAATGACATATATATTGTATGAATCAGAATTATTCTTTCTTTGCCTTTACACATCAACAAGGAGTCAGGGTCAGCATTTTCTTTTCTTTTTGTAAAACTTTAGATGAAGTGCCCTTGCTCCTCTCTTTTTTTATTGTTTTTTAATATACAAAGAATGAACCAATATAACTTTAATTTTTGTCATCATTTTTATATTAATCCGAAAATTCAAACATTAATATCAATATCTAAAATAAAACAATTTGTTTTGAAAACAATGTTATTATTTTGTACGGCCAGGGACGACAATACATTATAAAGTCCATCATCGCTCAATTAAATACCAAATTAAAATAAAACATATAGAAGTATCATATTGACTTCTTGAATAAATCACTTAAATAGGAGGAATTGTTGAAAAGGGGAGGCAGGCATTCTCCTTGCAATTTTATATATCCTCACGAAACCTAATAGTGAGACGTTTCGGTTAAAATTCATCGTTGGTCATTCAACTTTAAATTTATGATATAATATATTTTTGTGTTACATAAAAGTTATTTAATTATAAAATTTATCACACAAAAGTTGTTTTTATTTATTTATAATACAATACTTTATATATTTCTGTTTACATAGTAAATAAACGAGGCGAGAAGACCTTATAAATGTTGGGTATATAGTAAGTATAGATGGAAAAAGGAGGGAATATGAATTGTTCCCTATGTTTTAGTGAAAAAACTCGTCGCTAAAAGGCAGTGGCGGAGCCAGGATTTTCAATAAGGAGGTTCAAAATCCGAAGGAATAAACATACGAACTAGTCGAAGGGGGTTCGTCATCTATTATATACATTTAAAAAATAATTTTAATCATGTATAGATAGTAATATTTTCCACCGAAGGGGGTTCGGATGAACCCCTAAAGACATGCTGGCTCCGCCGCTGCTAAAAGGTACTTCGCGTCATCGTTGCCATTCGCTCGGCTTCGGAAAATAATTGATTGATAGAGCCAACCCGAACGACTCAGTTTCCGAACCGTATTCGCACAGTTTATATATATATATATATATATATATATAATAATAAGAAAAGATGCTTTTCCCTCAATCCCAAGACTCTATATGTTAGTTTACGCAGTAACGCAATCCTTACCTTGAGGAAAAAGCATAGAATTTATCCATGACAGTGTAAAACAATACTATAAGTAGGAGAGCGTAAATTGAACATTTTTCACAATCTCAATAGCCTGCAGGTTCCACGTTACATAAATCTAAAGATTTTTCCCTAGCTCCATTCTTCTCGACTAGATAAAGGAGATATAAATTTTATTTAGACGAGTTAGGACTTGGCTTGACGATAATCCTGATAATTAAATATGATTGATTGGGCACCAATTCTGATAGGTTATCTTCTTTTCATCTTGCTCTCGCCGGGACTACTCTTTCAGCTGCCGGGGAATCAACGCCACGTCGAATTCGGAAGCTTTGCTACTAATGGCAAAGCAGTTTTACTTCATACTTTGATTTTCTTCGTCTTTTTTACAATTCTTATTTTAGCTGTTCGTATTCGTATTTTCTTTCACTAGTTAGCTTCTTCGTATATTCTTTTTTCTAGTCATTTTGGATTTGCAGGAAAAAATGGATGCTTGTTTGGAGTGATTGTATTTATTTATTTATTTATTCTTGATTTGTTTTCAGTTTACTCAAGGTTTGTAATATGTAATGAAATTATATTTTGGTTCGCTTTAGTTCCTCATGTAAGTGTAATTAATCTAATTAGTGAAGAATAAATCAACCATAAACAACACAAACAAATTTCACTAGTACTTTAAGACTTTTCAAAATAACAATTCATCCCTTCGTCTCCATATATATGTACCTAGCGCGTTCAGATACATATGTATATTAAAATATATGATATCAAAATTAAGTGTAATTTGTTTTAGATAAATTTTATCCAAGTGGATTCACATATAACTGGGATACATAGATAAATCTCACTCGTCTCCCTCCTATTCTTGCTCGTCTCTTTCCCTATTTCAGTATATCTGGTAGCAAAAAAATATTTATCTAGGTGTATCTGACTTAAAATCTTATATGAAATTATTAAGTAGTGAGACAATATACAATTAGTTATCCTATATATATAATAGCTAATCTCATGAGATATCTTGATTTATCGAAAATCACATCCTACCAACCAAACAAATCTCTTAAGAATACATAGACAAATGGTCCTTACATAAAGTCAACGAAAAGAAAATACAATTTATTAAGAAAGCCATGCTAAAATATACTGAGCAGAGTTTCATATAGTAGTCATCACATGTTTATTTATTTTGCAAGACAATATGTTAAAACATAATCCATAGTCTAGTAAGCATTGTTAATTCACTAGACTTTCTTAAAGTTGACACCAAAAGGCTGATCTTTCACAAGACACAAACGTCTCTTTCCATCTTGCCTAACCCAACCAACTGCTTGACACTCATCAACAGGGCAAGATGGACAAACAAAAGGACCAGGACAATATAACAAATTGTAACTCGATTCTGATACTTTCACAATTTTAAACCAACTACTATCTCCTTGTCCTAAAGTTCCTCCCGTCTCCAATAATCGCGCTCCGAGCGATACATCGTAGTCTCCCACTTTCCAATTCGCATAAATAACACATAGTCTTGACGTTGCAATATCGAATTGAACGTTAACGTCTTGATTTTCGAAAATACCTGATCCGGTACTATAATCAGATTTAATTATGAACCTAACGGGTGTACCGATTGGTCGTCCTACATCAGAGTTGTAACGGAACACACCGTCAGGACACGGTGCAGATGAATTTGGGGAGGGACCTAGGTACACGTCACCACCCGCGGCACCACGACCAATCGAAACGATGTGGTAACTTGCACGAGGATCGAGTGCGTTACCGTTGGTGTCTAGTACTAATTTATTGGTAGCAGTAGGTAAGTCGATGGGATTTTGGGAAGTGAAAGTTGATGAAAAGGCAATAAAGGGAAGTAAAAATAGAGATAAGAGGAATAAATAGTTTGTCATATTTGAGTTGTGTGTGGTTTTATTGCTTGTGAGTTGTGAATACTTCTTTAGACTAATCAAGGCTTCTATTTATAGGCTTTGCCTAGTTTTAAATATGAATATTAATTTCTCTCTAATGGTTGTCCATTTTTATACGTTTTGCACATTATATAATACTCTAATACTACTAATCTCTATCTTTTCTTGACGAGGAAACTACCGTCGTGATTTTGAGTGCACATGAGGTAAATCTTGGTTCAATATTATCGAGATAAACTATACTATGAAGCTCCGCACGATAGAGAAAATATATATCGGAGATTTTGAATCAGGAATTACCATTTAAAAGATCACATGCTCAATCAACTCGGTCATCATGAGATATTGCTAATGTCTATCTTGATGTTAGGTAAAGTTACTATACAGCCCCCTCAATGGATAAAACTTAAATAGTACTATATTGTTTCTTTTTCTTCAACTTGCTGGTGTAAGCTTGGCAAGGTTCGTACATACGGTTTCTTCTTTATTTGATTATTTTATTGGCGGCTTTTAATTATCTGTAATATATAATTCTATGCTCTTATAACGTGAAAATGTAGAAAGTCAATCTAAATCTTCAATTTGTTCAAGGAATAATGTGACTGAATTAATTAAAATTATGTGAAATGGATTTATATATATACCAGCACACTTTGTTTGAATATAATGTGGCACAAGTTGAAATTTAACTAAATTTATTTTATGTGTTATCCCCTTTAATTATATCGGTATTTGACATAAGAAATATATATAATTTTGTGTAAATGACTTATTCAAGATAACGTGCACAAACTCCGTAAAAGCCATGCTCCAAAGAATTATCTTAAATTAAAGTAATTGTATGTGATATATTCTTAAATCAGCAGAGGCTGGGGTAGATAGAAGATGAGAAGATTTATTGAATGTTCTTGAAAATTTATTGATGTGATAAAATATTATATTTCACAAGGATCTTTTTTGATATTAAAGTCTTCAAAATGTGAGGAAGTAGCACATTCATCTACCCAACCATTTCCCTTTTTTTCTTAATAATGATCGGACATGAAATGAAATTAAGTATGGACTTTTTAACAAAAAAGAAGTTATTGCTTATTGGGTATATAAATAACAGAAATCACACTAGTTTAGTATCTATTATCTTTTTTCTCTTCAGTTTTCATTATTACGAATCCAACCATAAATTGGACATCGAATACATGTATTTGTTGCGACCAGATATATCTAATTAAGTGATATAATTGAAAGCTCTTAATTAAATAGTAAATTGCGTTTGTAACAACTTTTAAAGATCATATCACATCTCCTAAAATAAATCAAAACAATCAAAATTCTTCCATTTTGTTTGGCGATTCAACAAAGTTTACATTTCTTTCTCCTTGATTGTACGACCTTGGATACATGTATTTCAGTATTTGACGCGTTTAGATAATTAACCAAATACATATAATTAAATGTACTTAAATAAGGAATGTAACTGAAAGACATGATTTAAGGATGAAATCACGCGTATAAAATTTTTAGAGTATTACAACTCCAAAAAAAAATCGAAATACTTCGAAATTTTTTAGAGAATACAAACTTTACACTCCCCTGAAATTTTTCTTAAATAATTTGGAGCCTTTATGTTTCAACAATGGTGAATATCATTATGTTGTTAAGAGTCGTGTATTTGAGATTTAATGGTGGACATATACATGTTCAGATATCCCATTATTAAGAAATACAACTCAGATCTTAGTTACGATTGCTACTTATTGGATATACATGTTTCTGATAGTAAATCATTTGTCAAAAAACTTGATACAATACTAAATTAACGTGGATACACATATATCTAATAATAAATCTTATGTCAAACAAAATTAGATACAAGAAATGTAAAATACATTATTAGATACATGTCCTTATATCAGATATAAAACAACACTCAAAACTTTTGAGACTGAGATACATAACATTAATTTCTGATACATATCGAAAAAATCATGTTTAATCCTTCTCCCCACTGTATCTATGTCACCATCTACAACGAAAACGATTAGTTAATAGAGATATATATAACATAAACTTATCAAAAATAGAGTTGAAAATAGTCCATGTTATCCATAGCATGACTTTAACGAATGCATGAGCAAAAATGGAGATAGAGTTGCCCCTTCTTTCGATCATGTCTATCAAGATTCTTTCGATCTGGCCGAACTTACTTTGATGTTAGATGGAGTTGAAGCCTTAGGGTAAGCAGCGTTGTACGTCATTCAGTTATCAACAATTTTTGTTCTAAGGCAAGCTCCTCTATCTCTAAAGATAAAGACATAATAAAGAGTTTGTGGAGGCTTCGACGATGAATGTGAATTGTTTGCCCGATCCATCAATTAACTTAAAATTATTTCTTTGTAACAATTATTTCGATTTGGTCTCGTTAGAAAGGAACAATACATAATAAGGTTTGAGTTTAAGAGATTTTGTTAGGGTAATGATATCTTGAAAAGAAGAGAGTAGATTAGCCATTGTTGGAATAAAATTGTATGGTGAGATTCTTGAACGAGAAAGGAGAAGAGATAATTGAGTGATGATTATGAGAGGGGAGAATTAAGAGAGTGTGGTTGATTACGAGTGAAAGAGTAAATTAAGGGGATTATTAATCAATCCCAATTTAAGGAATGTGGGTATCTTCAATAATATATGGTAGAAAATATTAAAAGTAATAATATATGTAATTGTTTGACAGTAGAGATAATAATAGTAATATATATGATAGTGATGTATGTCTGATAAAGTAGTTTATCATTGCTTATTCGACCAGTCCTACACAGCTAAACTATGGAGCAATAAATTGCATTTCCACCCCAAATCCTTTCAAAATAGAGCAACTTTCACATATAGCAAACATAAAAATCATATTTGTATGTTATAGCTATAGTTTGCATAATTGCGCTCCATAGCAAATTTTATGTTTGTTATGGAGGTTTTGATTTGTATAATTCGCTAGATACATCCAATTTTATACAAATTGTTCAGTTTGTATAAATGCATTTATACATTGTAATTTGTATAATAAGATCTGTATTTATATAATTATAAGTGTATATGACGAAAATATATGTATTTGTATTTTTATATATACTTTTCTCTCGCTTTATACAAACACAAACGCATTTTATATATTTGGGATAAGGGTTTGAAAAATACCTCAACTTTGGTCAGATTTGTTGTTGCGATACTAAACTTTCATGGAGACCTATTATCTCTCTAGACTATTTAATACCGTATTTTTTACCCCCTGAACTATTTAATAGTGTATTTTAAAGGTATATATGTGTCCGCGTGGACACATTACTATTTATAAGTTTGCATTATTTTTTATGCCCACGTGGGCAAATATATATGTTTAAAATACGGTATTAAATAGTCTAGGGAGGTAATAGCTCCTCATTAAAGTTTAGTATCGCAACAACAAATTCGACCAAAGTTGAGGTATTTTTCAGACCCTTTTCCCTATATATTTTATACCGAAATGTATAAAATGGCTAATTGTATACCGAAAATGGCTAATTATATACCGAATCAGATGGCAAAAAAAGGAATGTTTACTGCGAATTACAGATAAAATAAACTATGACTATAACATTTAATTTAAATTAATAATTTATTATTTCATATAATTTTCCCTTCAAAATAATTTTTCAAGCCCACATATACATATATACTAACGTGGCCCATAATTTGCAGGAATGGCCTTATCCCAGATCGACTTTGGGCTACATATCATGTTTGCCCATGTACCAAAATGAACAATTTATTAGGCGTTTAGTTATAGAATTTGAAGTTCTGATTTAATGTCAATGATTATTTATATATGATGATTGCAATTCAAATCTTGAATCCTCTAAAAGTATGATTTTAAATTTCAAGTTGCATTTCAATTTTTTAATAATATAAAACTTGACTCATAAGTTCATATTTTTTTTAAAATTATATCAATCTAAATTTTGTCAAAAAATAATAATACATATTCGACGTTAAAAGATTATTTGTACCATGTGGAAGGATTATATAAGGATGATGATACTTTTGTAACAAAGAACTTTTTCTTAAAAATTATAAAAAGAAAACATATCATTTCTAATACAATAATTTAAACAATCAATAAAAACCAATACTCTATTAATATAAGGAAAAATCAGTTTATTTTAAAATAAAAAAAATATTATAGTTTTTAAAATTTTCTGACCAAATTATGACCAATTTTTTTGATTATTTAGCACTTTCCTTAATATAAATAATCTCAATATATCTAACTAATTCCAATAAAAACTTTTCCTCAAACCAAAACGACCCCTTAAAAAGCTGTATCGGTGATTCGTCCCAAATTTTGAGTGGAAGATATTTGGTCAAGAAGGTGCCTTTATGTGATTTTAAAGATAATGTCCATCTTTATGGTAACTTTAACTTTCTACTCCCAAATATATCTTAGAACTTTTTTTAAAAAAATTAATATATTTTTCTGATCATTTTTTTATACTTCATCCTTTTAATAATAATAATTTTTCAAAAATATATATAGAATTTAGTAAATTATATTATATTTATTAATATCTTAACGAACATAATTTTTATTAAGATGACACTCATTTGAAACGGAGGAAATATCTACTCAATGGTAAGGCTGTTTGAAATCAAATCGTAACCGATAAGCCAACCACAAAATTGGCTTATTATTAAATTATCCGATGGTGAACGGATTAAAATTTTACAGTTAACGGCTTATCGGTGGGGGCAGATTGCTCAATTTTCTTATTTGGTAAACCGTTAACCCATTAATTATTATTGTAGTTACCCTTTTACTGTAAATATATTTGTTAAGTAAATACTTATGTGCAGACACCCTCAAAATTTAGATTTTCATATGTGTCTCACCGTGATTTACAATTACTAAAGCACCAAGTTAAGTAGGGCTAGAAAAAATATTTTATTTGATGGGAGATTACTATATTGAGTGGAAGAATGGAGCCATTCGACAACTGTCTGTTATTTTTTAATATGATACTGAACTAACCAATAGCTTATTAGTTGGCTAATAAGCCAAATCATTAAATATAATTATTCATCCATATAATAAATAGTCCTACTCAATGAATGTGATTGTTTTTTGGACAACACTTATTTTGAGAGAACGAAATTACTCTCTTTTGTCTAACAATACTTGTCCACGGTTAACTTTGCATATTTCTTAAGAAATTATAAATAGAAAAATAATTTTACTATATCACTCTTTGAATATAATAAATACAACGTCTTGAAAAATCTAATTGAGAAATGACTATAATTAATTATAAGAATAAATTAGAAACTAAATGTAAAATCATACATTGATTTCATAAAATGAACAAATATAATTCAACATTTACTATTGTTGGACAGAGGGATTATCTAATTATGATGTCACCAAAATTAAAAGAAGAAAAATGTATTGGGAGAATGAGAAGTCACCGTCCAAGATTGAAATTGCGCGAATGACGAGGCAGTGAACTCATACTTCCAACAAATTCATAATCTGATCACTTTTGGCCCGCACACTACTTCCGTGTGACGTTCTCCTTTTCATTTTCCCCAATTTCTTTCCTCTTTCTCACTGTTTAATTAACCTAATTTACTTACTTATAATGGCGGATTGGGGACCGGTGTTGATAGCGGTGGTGCTGTTCGTACTATTATCGCCGGGGCTGTTGTTCCAGTTACCTAGCCGTGGAAAAGTGGTGGAGTTCGGCGGGATGCAAACGAGCGGCGCTGCTATTTTGGTACATGCCGTCATTTACTTTGGTCTCATCACTATCTTACTTATTGCCGTCGGCGTCCATGTTTATGCCGGTTAATCAAACTCCGATCTGTATTTTCTGTTTGTTGCTCTTTTAATTATCTTGTACTTTTTGTTTGTTTACGAATCGTTAATTACAGGGACGGATTGTTGCTTTTTCATCTTCGAATTACTTACAAAAAAATAAACATCTAGCGCCTGCCCTAAATGAAGTAGTTTTCGCTGCACTGTTGTCCCCATTCCTAGTCTAGATTAAAGGGGGTAAGTTTTTTTTTTCTTTTTCTAACCAGATAACCCGCTGTAATCACAATCTTTGTCACAGCCTCTGCCTTGATTATGCATTCTGTGGTGAGCATCGGGTAAATCTTCATCGTGTAAGTACACAGCCTGCAGATATAAGCCTTATACAATAAACTCGACTCAAAAGATATTGAGGAGATGAGTCATGAGTCATCTGTGGACTACCCTCCAAACCAAGTGAAAGACAAAAAAAAAAAAAAAGGGGTGAGGGGGTAATAATGTAATCCATTTAATGATTTGGTTGGTGAACAAATAGACTATTTGAAATGAATTGATTTAATAAATAAACTAATCCTTCTACTAGTCTAGTACTTATTAGACAAATAGATGGTCATATTTTTATGAGTTAATTTTATTTCTCCTAATCATGCAACAATAAGTTCAAATTTATGCAAAAAAAAATCCTATTCTTGGTCACATTCATTATTTTTGGATCATCTTGCCTCGATCCAAAAGGAGATCGGCTGGGTTGGAAGGTTGGGGATTCCTTAGATAAACTTTATTTCCTTCTATCATATCACATTAGGTGAATGTTTTTAACTTTTTATTTTTTTGGGCAAGTTTACTTTATGATGCAGTGTTTACCATCTATAATCTTCGAATATTCCAACGTCACTGTTATCGATTCTGAAAATCTCCTCCACCCCCACCCCCTTCCAAAACACGAATTCAAAAATTCAAAATTATCAGGCTCCAAAAGAAGTATCGGACACCACACTAGTGCAACTTATAAGTTGACACCATTTTGTAAATCCAAAAAAAAAAAAAAAAAAAGGAAGGAGGAGGAGGAGGTTTTCGATCAAAATATACTTGTCAAGCTTTTAAAAAAAGTTTAAAACTTACTTCAAATTTTAATATTTTATAAAATAAGCAAACTAATCATGACCCCAATTATACTTCTGTCTACCTAATCCTTCCGAGTAACAATGTTGCTTCGTTTACTCTGACAGCATATTTGAAAATGCATGCTCACTGTGAAAAAATAGCTGGTTACTGTCATTGTTATTATTTATTTTCTTGCACCAATTGATCTTTGTAACTAATTATTATAATAACTGGTAATTATGTTATTAATATTTTTTATTAACATACCGTATTATATTTTTGAATAAATATTTAGCTAATTATAAAAATGATAATTTTGTGTCAAACTTATACAAAATGCCATTATATTCCTCACATATAGTGATTACTATGGTCAAATCAAAGATAAAAGTGGAAAGCATTCATCACGTATACAGCACATATGCGAATGGGCATAAATCTCTTAAAGCTCCATGGTCCTTGGACATTAACCTTTCTTTTCTTAGGACACTATGAAAATGGGATGCCACTAAAACACTCAAATATAAAGTAGCTCTACGATGAATAATTGCTATTTTGTCCCTTTTGGTCCAATGTTGAACAAAAGTTTGACGGTTCAAATTGAGTTAAGATAATAAGTGAGCAGGTCAATGAATCTTCCAAACTTAGACGGATCACATTTTCATGGCTAATTTTATCATTTCTAATTACACGATAGGTTCCAATTGAAGTCAAAGACCTATTCTAGGTCAAGGTTATTATTTCGAGGTCACGTCTAAATTTGATCCAGAAGGAGATTGATTGGGATGAAAAGTTTGGACTTCCTAAAGAGAAACTTCATAATTCATATCCCAGTATCCACAACGTAATATGCCATGATACATATCACTTATGCAATATTCACCATTTATAATCTTCGAATATTCTCCTCCCCTAACTCTAAAGGAAAAAATAGACAAATATGATCGGAGGTGGAGGTGGAGGTGGAGGTGGGCGTGGGGACTGGGGCGTAAGGGCAAAGGCGTATCTAGGATTTCAAAATGATGGGTGCACTATTACAAAAAGATTGATCTAAGATATAAATTTGATCGGTTCGACATTTAGGTTCTAAGATATATATATATATATATATATATATATATATTAGTTAAAATGCCAAAAGAGAACAAGAAATATAAAATTCAAATTTCTAACCTCACGTAGAGAGGTGCACCCAGTCATCATCGCATTATATGATACTCCGAGTGTGGATTTACACATCTTTATATCAATAATTTTTTTAAAGTATAACACTACTATAAATATGATCTCGGGAGGGGAGCATGGGTTCATGTGAACCCGGTGACCCCCCTTGGATACGCCTCTACGTAAGGGTGAAAATGAGGTGTGTTGATAAGATGATCACTGTGGAATACTGAAGAACTTGATTTCCTTATTTCTATTAGGAAAGTCATTTATTCCTTATTGTTAAAAAACATATTTTTCTGAAAAATTTAACCAACTGAACATGAAAAATTCAAAAGATAGTTTCCTTCATATCGGACACACCCTAATAAAAGCGAGAAAAGTATATAACCCTCACATCAAACGTTTGATTACAATTTACATTAATGTTTATAGTAGATCGAAATTCCATGAGATTAACAACCAGACAGAGAAGAATTACTTTTCCAAACCAACTAATTAGTATATAGACCAATGTTGGTACAGATTAAATAGAAAGAATTGACTCAAATAGGACTTAAAATAGACAACAAATATATAATATAAGCATAATTCATGAATAATATATGTATAATTAATATATAATCTATGTATACGTAATAAAAAAAGAAGTAAACAATGAATCCGACAAATCAGCCCAAAGAAATGGGCATCAATCTCTTAAATCTCCCACGTTACTTGGACATTAACTTTCTTTTCCTAGGACACTTGAGTAGTGTGTTCCTTAGTGGGGATCAATCTGGGTGAGATGTACTAGGAATATCATATCACCTTTGACTGTGGAGCTTTGTTGATTGACTCGATGCGTTTGCTACGAAGATAAATATTGTTTTAAATAAATAAATAAATTGAAAATAATATCTCAAGAATAAATATACATTTTTGGAAAAATTACTTATATACACACATTTACTTACCTTAATATTCATTTATTCCTACCTTTTTTTAAAAATTCAAAAATCATTTAATTCTCCCAATTCATAAAATCTTCCGGATACATAAATATTTCACTCATATTTTCAGCCTACACCCATGTTTTCCACTCCCCATTTTACTCCTCCATTTTATCCCTAAATTCTCTCCACTTCTTTAGCAGTTACAAATTTCAAATTCATTTTGATTTTCAGAAGGTGTCTCTCTCAAGTTTATCAATTAATCTATTTTTGAATTCCAAATCTTTTTTTATTTCCAATTAATGATTTCAAATTATTCAAGAGGTAGATTTCTTTCCATCCCTTCAATTTTCGATTTCTTTTATTATTATTTTTTAATTTTTTCATCTTAAAAAATAAAAATAAAATTATCTCTGCCCCCTGCCCAAATTGAAATCTTATTGAACCTTTGCAATTTTATTTAATCATATTGTTGTTGAAAATTTTTCTTGAAAAGTATTTATTTTCTTTTAATGTTTCTACTATTGAAAAACGTCCAAAAAAAAAAAGAAGAAAAAAGTTGGATCTGCCATAACACGGCCATCACTATCAAAAATATAAATTCTTAACGGTTATTTTGAGTCTTAAATCAGTCTTTGTTAGTGTTATCATTGATGTGATACATCACTGCTACAATAACCTTTGTTTTATGCAATGTATAATGTTCATATGTAAGGTATTGATACATAATTCTAATGTTGTTGAATCTTTGATTTTTATCATGTTCGATAGAAATGTACTTGATACATAAACTTTGTGTTATTTATCACACACAAAAAAGAAGCTATTTTGAAACAATTACATATATAATGTATTTTTTTTAATTTTAAAATATAGTATTTCTCAAACAAAATAAGATACATAAATAATAATGTATCATACACTAATTTTTTAGTTATGATACGTAAATTCAAATTTATACTAAATATATATGATACATAACAATTACCAAACAATAATGTATCGATCTCAAACTTAAATCTTATGGGCAACACTTTCTTATTTAATGTATCTAGTAGAAATACAACATTTATCAATTTAAATTGAAAGGATCTTCATGATCTCAAACAAAATAAGATACATAAATAATAATGTATCATGCACTAATTTTTTAGTTATGATACGTAAATTTGAATTTATACTAAATGTATCTGATACATAACAATTACCAAATAATAAAGTATCGATCTCAAACCTAAAATCTTACGGGCAACACTTTCTTATTTAATGTATCTAGTAGAAATACAACACTTATCAATGTAAATTGAAAGGATCTTCATGATGTATCTTCTCAAAATTTTCGATAATTTTGAATCAAAATTGAAAGAATCTTCAATGAACTAGGAGAATAATTTTGAAACTCAAAATTTTCAACAATTTTGAATCAAAACGGAAAGGATCTTCAATGAACTGGAGAAGAATTTTGAATCTCAAAATTTTCGACAATCTTGAATCAAAATCAAAAGGATATTCGATGAACTTGAAGATTCACAAAAGAAATCGTTTGTCCAACAACAATTCCATCACTTTTGTAGCCTTCATAACTCACCTCGCTTATCCAAAATTTCGACAAAAGTTTTTATGAAACAGAGAGAACGATGAACAAGAAGAAGAAATTTAATTTTTGAATATTTTGGTTTGTTACACTATATGATTTTGAATTCTTGACAATAATTTGGAATGGAATAACCTCATTTATGGGGTCTTAATTTGATTTTCAGCTCTTTTTCCCTTATGCAACAAATGGATACTATGAGATTTTAATTTGATTTTTCAGTTTTTTTTTCTTAATAAGTGCAACAGATTGATACATAATGTATTAACAATAATGTATTCGAAATGTCTAAAAAATATGAGATTTATGTAATTACAAAAATAATAGGGATAGAAGGTAATTTAGGTTTTATACTATGATATTTATGTAAGTTATACTTTATTTTTTAGAAGATTGGGATGTTGGAGAAAAATTAAATACTTGCTTGTGGTTAGTTAATTAAGATGATGAATTTATTAAGGGAAAATCACTTACCTGTACCTTTTTTAATCGGTAAAGGGCCTAAAATACCCTTGAACTATTAGAAATGGTACAAAATTACCATATATCCATCTATTAGTCCTAAAATATCCTTGCTGTCTACCTTTAGGTCCTATATTGCCCTTTATTTTTAACGGTCCTAATTAAAACTTAATTAATAAATTCATTAATGACGTGACAATTTTCTATTGGTCAGATTTTAAATAACCTAAATTAATTTAAAAACCCACCCATTCCCAAATTCATTTAACCCATCTTTTATCATCGTCTTCCTCACAGCAAAATGGCAAATCATAGAGAAAAGCTACAACCTTTTCTTTTTCTTATTTACATCCCACCTACATTCTTTGAAAAAGAAATAAAACCTAGATAATTTACATAAAGGAGATTATGATATTTCTTGAGCAAATTTTTGAGTAGAATCTATCTAATGAATCCAAAATAAAGTAATCCAAAAGATTTGGTTTCTTTCTCATCAAATATAAGTGGGCAATGGTGATGAGAATTTTGTGTCATTGGCTGAATTTGATTTTCTGTTTATTTATGCAATCGTTGCCCAAAAAGGTTTTATTTCTTTTTCAAAGAATGTAGGTGGGATGAAAATAAGAAAAAGAAAAGGTTGTAGCTTTTATGCTCTATGATTTGCCATTTTGCTGTGAGGAAGACGATGATAAAAGATGGGTTAAATGAATTTGGGAATGGGTGGGTTTTTAAATTAATTTGGGTTATTTAAAATCTGACCAATAGAAAATTGTCACGTCATTAATGAATTTATTAATTAAGTTTAAATTGGGACCGTTAAAAATAAAGGGCAATATAGGACCTAAAGGTAGACAACAAGGGCATTTTAGGACTAATAGATGGATATATGGTAATTTTGTACCATTTGTAATAGTTCAAGGATATTTTAGGCCTTTTTCCATTTTTTAATTACCACATGAAATTAGTCCTACAAGTTAATTAATTATGATCCGACAAATTAGATACTTTCCTCAAAGCAAAATTAACCAAAAAGCCTAATTACTTCAAAGAAGTCATTATGTTGTTTGATGAACTCTTTTTTAAGATAATGTTGGAGACCAGGCTGTGTTTATATCATCCCTAAATTGGGACATTAAACTTTGTGATATACTATCAATCACTTCCATATGACACGTGTCGATGAGTAGTAAGGGCTACTCATTGATCCAAAATACTTACGTGTCGATTTATTATATACTTAATTTTAAAATGTCCCCCACTCCCCTACCATTCCAATTTATAGTTAAATAATTAAGATTTTCATGAAAAGAAGTAGAAATATAAAAATTATTCTTCCTCTGTTTTATTTTATGTGGCACCGATTAATTTAGCATAATATTTAAGAAGAAAAACCCCCCTCTGCCTGCATCTCTGAAACTTGCTTTGCTTTTTTGCTCTAAAGACTCCGCCTGCTTCACACCTTTTATGGGGAAATACTTTCGCACCAGTACTAATTTGATTAGCATAAATGAACCTCTGCTGAGCCCTTGAAATTTTACATAAGAAGACTTTTTAAACTTGTGGTCTAAAATAATTCTTAGAATATTTTATGTTGTTTTAAATCATTTTATTATGACTAAAAGAAGAATTTTAAAATTAAATTATTTCTAATTATAGTAAAATGACATTCTTTTTGGACAAACTAAAAAGGAAAAGATACGATTAAAATGGGATGGAGAAAGTATACAAAGAAAAAATTGAAGGAATTTAATATATAGAATATTTTAATTTATATCCATGACTTAGAATTTTTCGGTAAAAGGTTTCAATTGGTAACTATTCCCTGGGTTTATGTGAAATATATTTGTTTTAATTTATAATTATTAAATTTTATATTTTTAAATCTAGTAAAGATCTTCTTATAACTGTACAAATAATTGAAAATTTTCTTGAACTTGAACAAATAAATAGCCGTAAATAGCATTTTTCTAGGCTTTATCACAATTCACATAATTAAGTCGGAAAATTCAGAAGCTTTATAGCCGTATCAAGGGTTTGTTTGAGTGGATTTATAAAAAGTAATTTATAAATTCAAAACTAAAAGTTACTATAAGTAGAAGATATTTTACTTTTGATTTATTTTTTATTTTTTTAGCTTAAAAGTGAGTGCTTTAAATCACTTTTAACCTTTTCAAACACCTTTAAATTACAAAAAATGCTTAAAAATCAAAAGCATCTTAAAAACAAGCTAATCATGTTTGGACCAAAATAATTAGGTGTCATGCTGAATCTAGCAAAACAAATCTCGAGAGACCACGAGTAAGAAGACAAACGAGAAATATATCATATGACACAAAGATTTAACGTGGTTCGATCAATCGACCTACGTCTTCAAAGGAGATGAGCAATCCACTGTATAAATATGAGAGTACAAAATCTAGAGAGAAATAATATCACCTAATTCACTAGAATACAAAGAGGTTCACGTATCACTTGTGTCCCACAAATTCTCTTCCCCTAACAAAAACTCTTAAAGTCTCTAGAACTACATTGTGAATGTTGATTACGTTAGAAGGAACGAGCGTTTGTTTATGGAGTCTTAAGCTTTTTCTTACGAGAAAGGATTAGACAAATATGAATACTTTATGTTTTTCTTGTAGAAAAAAACATATTTATATTAAGAAACTCATGACAAATATCCAACAAATCCAAATAGGTACTAAAGATTCCTTATCAACTCTTTTTTTTTACCACTAGATAGTGTCTAGCGGTCTTTTATTAAACATAAAAAATATCAATAGGGACAAGTATAAGCAAGGGGGGCTAGGCCTTACTTTACTAATCCTAATGAAGTACCTAACTTCTGCTACCTAACAAGCATGAAGAAAATAAGAGCTAGAGAAAACTAAGTATATGATGTTATTACAAATGAGGATGCTTAAATAATGTAAAAATATGTCAATCAAGAAGAAAGTTGAGTTACCAGCCTCAAACTTTCTATTACTAAAGCATGAATTAAAAAAGATTGATTGCCCATCAATAGTAACTTGAAGTATTTTTCTCTTGTTTTCTTCTTCAAACCTTTCCAACAACACTTGATGATTCATACCTTCTTTATGGATTTATTGGATCTAGTTGAACCTATTGATACTGTCAAATGGTTTTGCTTTGCCTGTCGCATCGGTAGGTGCCTTGGAACAAACTCCTCAGTCATTTTACCGTCCCAACTATGTTGCCTTCCATATGTCTTCTTTTTGCTTTTGTTGCTTCCACTTCTTTGTTCCCTAGGTGATATATCCCCTTCCCTAGCCACTCAATCAAAGCAAATGTCCAACATATTGTCTTCCCCATCTTCATCAAGAGAATCCTCACCCAAATCCACTCCATCTTCATCAAGAGAATCCTCACCCAAATCAATTGTATTTGACACTAAGACACTTTATTCCTTATCAACTCAGTCTAGACCAATACCTTTTAAATTTGTTAGTTGTCGCTATAAGCACTTTATTCAATTTATGTCATTTTCTTTAGTTATATCGCTATAAGTACTTTATTCAAATTATGTTATTTTCTTTAGTTATATCACACTTATATGTATTCGTTTTTTAGATTGTTATGTTAAACAAATGTAAAATATATTATTTTCTTTTCATTATACGCCAATTCCAGTTCTATTCGAAGTTGATATGTATAATTAAAGGAGATTTCATATTTCATGTGGTTAACTAAATTATCTAATAGACAAATAATAACACGCTCATAAAGTTTTTGCGAACTTTGAATTGAAATTATCTAAGCAAAATACTTAAATAGAAATTAAGTATATTTAATATTGAAAAAATGAAGGTTTGTCGTGTCTATCAACGAATTTCATTCCTAGGGCATGTCAAGTGCTAATCCTTACGAATAATCCGACCAAAAACATCATCTCTTTTTTCTTTTTTTTAATGATTTTAATAATTCAAAGATGCTTAATTGGTGAATTCTCCATCAAACAATAAAAACAAGCTCAAGCATAGTATTTAGGCCACAAAAGTATATAAAAATTAATGCGTTGATATACAATTCAATATAACGAACATTTTAGTTAGTACCAATAATTATTGTGAGATAGAACATCCTTTTTTTAATCCGTCATGGTGAACTCACTCAAATTCTGAACTGAACTAAAAATATCATGCTAAAGATCGTTTAGTTTAGCGACTTAGAGTCCTCGGCTCTCGATCTTTAAGGTATAATATTTAGAATGGTGTTGAAAATAGAATAAATTCAACAACAGATCGCGAAATCTTGATGATTTTTTCTTTTAAAAAATAAAACAAGAAGCTTTCGCCTTTCAGCAACGCTCTTATCTAAGCCTTTTCAAGTTTTAAAGTGTCAATAATATGTCCGCCTAATAATTTTACCCAAAATATTTTTTTAAGAAAACCATGATTAGTTGAAAAAAAAAAATACATGAGCGACCTATCATGAGGTAAGGTCAAATTACATTAAACCTTGGTTTATAAGTAAAAAAAAAAAGTTTAGTACTACATAATTAAGATATTACGTCAAGATTGGCCATGATGAGGTCATGACATAATTCGAGGGTCGAAAAAATTAAAATTACATGTGTATATATATAATATGGTGCGTTTATTCAATTTCTTAGGTAAAATAAAAGGAAGGGGAAAAAGAACAATACTCCAAAAAAGTCCATTAAATTATCTATCATTCGAAGAATGGGGAGAGGGAAAGTGGAATTGAAGAGAATAGAGAATCAAACAAACAGGCAAGTTACCTTCTCCAAGAGAAGAAATGGTTTACTTAAAAAAGCTTATGAACTCTCTATTCTATGTGATGCTGAAGTTGCCCTTCTTCTTTTCTCTCCTTCCGGCAAACCTTACCATTTCGCGAGTCATGAGTAAGTCGTCTCAAACTCTTTGTACTATTTTTAATTAGGACAAGTTCTGTGAGTTCAGTTATATATACTCGTGGTGCTCGATTATATTTGTTTATGACACAATCATGAGATTAATGGTTTTTTTTTTAAATTAATGGATCGATGTAGCATCGAAAGGACTATTTTAAGGTACAAGAATGAAGTTGGGTTGTCCCAAAATAGCGACCAAGGCCTCAGAGCTATGGAGGTAATTAATTACTTTAATTTCCTCTTAACGATTTACTCAAATATGTCATCAAACTTTGAGAAAAAGTTTATCTATGTCATCCGTTAAAAAATTGACTCATCTATGTCATTTTCGTTTGAGAAAAATGCTATGTCATTATTTGTTAACTGAAATAGCATAAATATTGAGTCAAACTTTTAAGGATGATATAGATGAGCCTTTTTTAAAGTTCGATAATATATTTGATCTTTTTCCTGATAAAAAATGATTTAATTAATGATGTGGCCGAATCATAATTGATCATGTGTAAAAAAAATAATTTTACAAAATCGAAACTATTTTAAGTTAACAAATAATAGCATGGAGCCTTTTCTCAAACGAAAATGGCTGATGAGTAAACTTTTAACGAATGACTAGATTGGTCTTTTCTAAAAAGTTTCATGACATACTTGAGTCTTTTCTAAAATTAATAAACTTCTGATAATTAAGAGCCAGGGTAACTTTTTTTTTTCTAACTAAATATGTAGTTTGGTTAATTCTGATGAGTATTAATTAATTCTTCTCATGGATTAGGTTTGGAGAACTAAGATTGATGACATGACAAGAACAATACATGAACTTGAAGCCAGAGATAAGTATGTAATTGTGATCTCTGTTTAATTTTCGTATATTACTCTTGTTTAAATATATTTTGAGTGGAGTAATGAAACGAATTTAGGACATGCTCTTTAGATTGTTATATAGGGATAATTATCACTATAATAAATAAAGAATTTTGTAGTAATTACTTAACTATAATAAAATAGTTGGTGATATATTATATTTAACAATAATAATAAGTATGAGTATTTTATAACTTGCACTTTATATTTTACCAGCTGTGAGTATTAACTTAATTACCACTAAATATCACCTTTGTTGTAGTATACAAATCTGAATGATTCGATCATCTAATTTGCAAAATATGTACAAAGTGTATATATGTTGTGCATATACTTTATAATAAATATACTTATACACGAATAATATATGTTTTATATATATTTCAGACATTCAATTATGTTAAATAAACTAGTTGGTCGAGCGGTATATATCTATAACTTTATATATTTTGGGCAGGCATTTGGCTGGAGAAGAGTTAACAAGTCTTGGCATGAAAGAATTGAAGCAATTGGAGCGTCAGCTCAGAATTGGGGTTGAACGCATTCGATCTAAAAAGGTTATAATTAAGTTATATATTTACAATAAAAATTTAATTATATACATATTTTTAATTTTTTTTTATTGATTTCCACCAAATATTATACTTGATATATAATTAAGAACAAAATCTAATTATAGTTTATTTACTCTCATGTAACAGAGACGTATCATTTCCGAACATATTAACGGGCTTAAGAGAAGGGTGAGACTCTAATTAATGAGGAAAACAATTTTTAAAATTTAATTTTACAAAAAGAATAAATTAATTTGGAATTTCTTATGCAAATTATGTGGGTTAATTAATATTTTGTATTGGTTGATGCTTGTTTATTAATAGTTTATTGGAGTTTTAATTTTCTATTAGGGTGTGTTTGGTTTTGGTATGAAGGAAAATGTTTTTTCTAGAAAATAATTGTTTGATAGAGTTTCTTACTTTAGGGGTTGATAAGGAATTAAAAAAATAATACACCAAGAACATTTATGTGTAAGTTAATGTAATATTATGAAGGTGAGATGAGATGAAGAGTGGAGGTTCGGTGTGGAATGATCAAAGGAATAGGGAAATCTGAGACGTTGACTGAATGGAAAAAAGACAATGAACTTAAAGTTTTTTTTTATGAAACTTTTTTTTTTCAAAAAAATATTTTCCTCCCTACCAAAGTCACCCATATTAATAGCTAAGCATATATGCAACTAATTAATTAAAAGACCAATGCAAAATGTTAATGATTTAGAAAGTTAAGAGAAAGTGAAAAACATATTAATGTAATCTAAAAAGAAAGTAATTAACTATACATTTTTAGTAATGAGCTTAATTGTGTATTCATCTTACTTATGCAGCATAAAATCCTTCATGAGGAGAACATCCATCTTCAAAAGCAAGTGAGTCTGCTTATATGTTAATTTTGAAGTAACTGTATAATACTAACATTTTATAAACTTGAAGGGGAAGAGATGTGAATATGCCTCACTTATTTCATTACGACATTTTTTTATATTTTTAAATTTTGTTTAAATTTAAAATATCCAGTACTCTCAAATTTTAAAAAGAAACTAACTCTTATTTTCCCAATAATATTTTTCTATTGTACTAAAGAAAAGTTGGAAAAAACAAAGTCACATTAAGTGCGAAGCTACATTTGTTGAATATTACTTTGATTAGTTAAACACCTATACTAAACTTAACTGTTTGATACCTTTATAGTTGATTTTACACAATTTGTGTATATATGTATCTCCACTTATTTATTTCACAATGCAGGTAATGTTGTCTGAAATAGAAAGGAGTTCAAGGATTCTTGATTCAGATGCAAGTGAGTTACTTTCTAAGGTAAACTAATTTAATAAGTCTATGAATATCTTTTATTAATTATATGTATTATTCATGTTTAATTTGATTATTCTAACACTTCCCTTTTTTCTTTTGTCTCTTTTTTGCTTTCTTTCTGGTTGTGTAGGGACGAAGAATAATATATGATTTGTAGATCTTCAATTATATGGTCGTGTAAAGCGCCTACCTTAAGTGAACGTATACTTAGTATATATTATAAAATAGTGTGTACGGTATATTTAAAGATGATAATCTTTTCGTGTTGTTTGAATGTACTTATTTATTGTCTAGAATTTTTATTCTAAGTCAATGTTGAATTAAGAAAAGGAAAAAATAAATGTACTATGTTGATATTATAATTTGAATTAGAAATTTTTTGTCCAATTCTAAGCAGCTATTAATTACATGATATGCATCTGATTATATATTTATAATCTATATATGAAATATTGTATAGTTTGGTTTTGTGGTATATTGCAAAAAGAAATTGATATTATTTTCCATTTTCTTTTAACCCTTTACCATTATATTGATGGATTGAAAAGGGAAAATGGGGAAAGCGTGTAATAGACATTAAAAAAAAAAAAAAATTTAGATGAAAAAGTAAGTTATAAATAGGCAACAGATTGATCAATAAATAAATTATTATTCAATTTTTTTCAGAAGTTTGCATAGGCTAAGATAGATTATGTCAAGACAAAAAATAATGAGTTATAATTCAATTCGTCAAACTTAAAGCACTTTTTGCTTCTTTCTATTTGAAGATGTATAATTGCAAGAACACACCAAATTAAATCTCAAATACTCATCAAAAGGACTACTTTGGCTCTGGTACTTTAGTGTTCTTTCCTTTTTTGATATTTGTGTGAAACTGAATGTTTACAGTTTAATTTTTTTTTTTTTTTTAAAAATGGACTAACATATCCTCAATAAGTTGAGTGGTGTATAAATGGTAAAAAGACGTTGATAAGTGGAAAATTAAAATCAATGTTAAGTGAGTACGACGTTATATGCAACCTAGTTATCATATTGAATTATTCATATCAGATTGTCACGGTTTTATATAATTTTAAAGCTACAAAAAGGGGAAACTACATTTCAGATCTGTAGCATACAAATTATATTAAAACAATATGACTTCAAACTATATTCGACCAGACTATTTTGTTAGACAAATCACAAATAATACTAGATCTTTATGGTTTCAACCTTTCAATTATATTAGACACCTAGTCTAAATTTAATTTACTTGTTTTTTTTTTGCACCTCTCTTTTATTTATTTCGTTTACTATTTATATCTTTCTCCCTTGTCTAATTCATGTTACTCATAGTACCCTATCTTTGGGACAATGGTATATAAGTCATGATAAACTAATATAACTTTATGTTATATTCAATCTTACCGTTTGATCAAATAATTACAAAATCATAATTATTAAATCTTCATGATTTTTAAATCACAAATAAAAAAACACTGTACATGGTATGAAAGTTTAGCTAAACAAGTATTACTTCAACTTTGTTGCATTGCCAAAGTTCAAAAGTAATTTTGTTTAGAATATATCAATAATTAAGGGTCAAAAGTGCTATTATCCCTTAAATAAAGGCGCATACACTGTAATTATGAAATGTTTTAGGGGCTCATACAACTATCAGAAGCGTATTGGCGCCAAAATGTAATTATTTCTTCTTTTTGGACTAAAAATTCTATTTCAAGCTTTTCCTCAAGCACCCCTAGAAGAAATCGAAAAATACCTTCAAGTCCACGATCCTATTGAATCATTTCATTTCACCTCCATTTGTGAGCTCGCAAAAATCCCTTTCTCTGTCTCACACGCACAGAAGCCGCTTCAAAATCAGCAATGGCGACACTAGGTAGATTATCGAGAAGAGTAATAGCAACAACTCTCTCCGGTCACCTCCGCCACCACCAGAGTCACAATCTCATCCGCCGCACGCTGGCGACGGAAGCTCAGGCGGCAATAAATGAATCGCCGGATCGAGTGAAGTGGGACTATAGAGGGCAGAGGAGGATCATTCCACTAGGTCAGTGGGCACCGAAAATCGCCGTCGATGCCTACGTGGCGCCGAATGTTGTCCTTGCTGGTCAGGTGACCGTCTGTGACGGCGCTTCTGTATGGAACGGAGCCGTCCTAAGAGGAGATCTAAATAAGATTACAGTAGGGTTCTGCTCTAGCATTCAGGAAAAATGTGTGGTTCACGCTGCTTGGTCTTCTCCTACAGGTGATTAGTTCATTTTCCTCGCTTGACTTTAAGTACATTTATGCTGTTTGTTGATAAGATTTGAGTATATTTCATCACAATGAGCTTATTGTGCACTATTAGCTTAGCTGATTTAAATGATGTTTTGGTTTTAATTTATTTATGTCAAGGGAATTTCGGCAATTCATTGCTTAGGTGAATCAGTTGGATATTGATAGGGATAACATGATTTGTGAATGAAACGGGTAGTATGTTAAGGTACTATGACTATGTTGCTGAGAACAAAATTGTATTTAGAAGGATTATGGAACTTAGTGAAGATTGTAGCCTTTGAGTCTAAATGATGTTTCATGTTCCAAAGTCAAATGACTACATCAACTCAAGAAATCTGGAAATCTTGTTGAATGTTCACTGATTAGAACCTTACATTTAACATGATATATATTTCTGTCGGAAGCTTTTAAACACGTAGAAAGCTTGTAAGTCAAGTGACCATTGAATCGTGGTTTAAGTAATTGGTTCAATTAAGGATAGTCCCTTTTGGGACATCTGATAAAATTGGAACAAATTGGTTCTGTTAGGGATAAATGTTGAATTTTTATTATCTATCTCGTCTTTGCCATAAAAGAGGGGCATTTACGTGAAGTAAAAAAATGTCTAGACAACACAACTGAATTTTTTAATGCATAAAAAACATAGTGTAGATCTCCAAGGTATGCTAACTGCAGCAAGACAATATAAGCCTTAATACCCAATGTTTTAAAAAGGAACTGAAACTTTTCAAGGTTTGGGGCTTTAAGCAAGAAGCAAAATGACAGGCTATTGAAGTGATGTAGTTTCCAAAAGGGAGGACGAAGGGAAGAAGGTTATTGCAGCAAAGCTCTACAGGAAATGCAATTTCAAAGCTCTAGAAAATGGAAACGGGCTCTAGTGCAATGCTACTTATAAGCCGTAGCATAGAAGTAGGAGTGAAGGATAATGTCATTGCAGTAGAGCTGTAGGGGAATTGCAACTTCAAATCACTAAGAAGAGGATGGGGAGAGTGGTAAAATTCAGTCAGATTTTTTATTTCCTTGTGTTTCTGTCACAAATGCAAGACAACAAAGTACACATCTCTTGCTCCGACGTTTTATTGCTTCAGCCTAAAAGCAGTTCAATTCTCACTTCCACACTCAGAATCAAGGGGGCCTTGACTTGAAAATATAAGCTCAACTTTCTTAGTGATTTACAGTGTTCAGCAGAAAAATCTTCAGGAAAATAAGGAAAGCTATTAATACGAATTATTAATTGCTTGTTACTTTTCTCCAGATTGTCATTTTACTAGTGTGCAGTGAGTGAGTCATTGTGAATAGATATATGGAAGTACAGGAAGTGAGTAAATAAGTAAGTGAAGTGTTTAAGCAAGAATGCAATCTTAATTGTGGAACTAATATGCTCTTGAAAGATTGTTTGTCAAATATATTCTACAATGTTAGGTTATTTTGACAAAAAATATGGTTGGTAATTAGGATCTTTTAGTTTACACCTATACGCATGTTTGTATTGATGATAACAGTAAGCATCGTTAACATATTTTTACCTTGGAAGAATTGGTTTAATTAGCTTGTCAAATCCCAGTTGCCTGCCCAAGGGCTTCAATATAAGGAACTTGTAAAATTTGTGAAGCTCAGATGGAAACTTTAGAAAGAACTCTGCATAGTGTCCTAAGAGTTCCGGAAGTCAATGGTTAATTACACAAATTTCCACTCAGGTTTTATCCTGGTACCTATAGTCACATGCGAGTTGCGACCTTAAACATTGCACAGACCTCTCTCTTTTTGGGGTTCTGTCTATCAACAATGTTTCAATCCTCAAGCATACATATTTTCCCATTGAAGTACTTTCATTTTGTGAAACAAAAAACACATCTTCATATTTGTTTTGCTTATGAATTTCATCCTTCCATGACATTTATCTCTTCAAAATGAATCCATTACTCTATAAAAAGAAAAGAAAATTAATCAATCAATTGTGATCTCAAGTGCAAATCACAGTAGACACAAAAAACACATCATGATTTCTTCCATCTACCTAAGTCTTAGTGAATATAGTTACTTGATGCATGTGCTGGTGGAAGGTAGTAGGTATCTAGTGGAATAATTAAGATGGGCGCAGGCTGTCCTGGACACCTACGGTCGTAAAAAAGATTAAAAAAATTAATCAATCAATTGCTTCTCAAGTCCAAACCTTTGGGTTAGCTGTAGCCTGTATGAATCTTCTACCTCCATTCTGTTCTAATAGGGCTCGTTTCATCCATTTGTTTCATTACTATGCTAGTAATCATTTTATCCTTCGACGTGATTTAGAGTTCTCCAGAAGTAGGGGTTATGTAAATCTCACACTTGTCTTGATGTTGACATAACAGTAACCAGACTGAAAAGACTAATGGCAAACACTGAACCTAATGTGATGTGATAACAATAACTAATCTTCAATCTTGTCTCCTTTTGGCTAAGATCAAGTGTAATCTTGTCTAGTTTGTCAAAAATATAAGTAGGCGTTTGGCCATGTTTCATTATGAAAATAGAAAAAAATAGTTTTTGTTTTCAAAGTGAAAATGATATTTGGAAATTGCAAGTGTTTACCATGAAATTAACTGGAGTTGTTTTAAAATTTTGTGAGTAACTCAGAGTGAAAAAAACAGTTTTTTGTTGTTTTTGGAATTTCTGGAAGTTCTTGAAAAAAGAGAAAAACAAAATGTTCCAGAATTTTATGGCCAAACATGTTTAAGTGAAAAAGTTTCATGGATAAAGGCCCCCTAAAGAGGAGTAAATCTCAAAAGCATACAATTCTGAAGAAAACAAGTAATAGGTATGCTGAGAAGAAAGAGGATAAAGACTTTGAGCAATTCCTTGGTGAAGGAAATGGGAATATGGTGAGTTGCAGAGGGAAGAAAGAGGGTTCAAGGCTCTTTGGTTGAAGGGAAAACGTATGAGGTAAAGAGGGTCTAAGGCTCTTTGTTAAAAGGAGAAGTATGCGGCAGCCACGAAGGAGATTGTAGTGACGTGGACGAAGGAGAATGTAAATAACAAATTATTACATCTAGGAGTGCCTGTGACTCATTACATGGGTTAAGATTATTGTTCTCCTAGTTTTTAGTACTCCCTCTAGTGCATATTAAGTGAATTGTTGAGGTAGGACTCACCCCTTAAGAAAAATGTTTGAGGACACGAATCAAAGGCTACTTTCTACTATAACCCTTCTGATCATTCCCAAACTATTCTCCTAGAAAATGTTAAGTAGTTAAGAACCTTATTAAATGAAGGGTAAATATGAAAAGAAGTCCCAACAATTTCTCTTGAACTTTGAATAGTTGACTTATTTTGAATTATGAAAAAAGTCCCAACAGACTTAATATGGACTAGAGAGAGTAGTGATTATTGTTTTTCTAATTAAAAAACATAAAAGAAGGGGAATATGATTTTTAGCAAAAGCATTCATTTTATTGTGTTGTGGTGGGGAGCTGTGGGATGCTTTATCCTCTCACAAGGGATAACATAACTTTTTGAGGAAGTTTTTTTTAATCTTTTTGAGAAAGACAAGGGGTAACATAACTTACACAGATATACCTCTCATATTCTTGTTGTATGCTGCTGGTTTAGATGTCTAGGAATGAGTAACCACAAAAATCTTGAGATTGAAGAAAATGAGTGCCGCTCTCACCATAACTTTGTAATGACAAAACTACCCTACAAAATCATATTTTCTGTTAGCAACCTAAATAACTCAATCTGAAATGACGTAATATTGAAGTTCGGACTGTGGTCCTATGTTAGGACTCTTCAGAAAATGTCAATAGGTGCGTGCTGGATTCTCCAAAAGTAGTTTATTTTTGGATAATCCGACATGGGTGCGGCATCAAAAGTGAAGAGTCCACACAATTTCCTATGATTTTGCTGATTTCATTCTTAAACGACTGCTCTGTTGCTTAAAACTTGAAACCATTCCAGTGGTCATGTTCTTAATATTTTCTGGTTTAGAATTAATTTAACGCTATAAAGTATTAATTTTTATGCGTGGTTAATATACAAAAGAGGTTTTAGATTTCTTTCTCAAAAAAAAATAGAAGAGGTTACAGATTTTCTGCAAAGATTGATAAATATACAGGGCGAGGAGAATGATCTTCAAATGATTTTTAATTACCTAGAGAATCCATTTGATTAAGTGTCAAGAAAAGCCTTTTACTCGGTACTGGAGAAGAAATGATTGATTTTTAAATGTAAATCCTTTAAGTGATATATGAAGGAGTTGTCACAAGTGTGAGATCAGCAGGAGGCGTCGTAGAGGAGTTTTTCATGGTAGTTGGTTAGCGTGTTTTATATTATAAATCTTTCTTGAACGGTTTAACCTATACTTGCTTAAGCTCATTGTGGATGTACTAGCCAATAGTACACGCTATACAGGAGATTCTATGGTGCATACTATTTTGCAAATGATATTATTTTAATGAAAGAAAGTAGTAGGAGAGTCTATCAAAAGCTTGAACTATGGTTGCAGCACTCTTAAAATTAAGAGGTTTAGTATAAGCAAAACTATGACATAATGGATATACTAAAAGTTTAGCCCACAAAAACAGATTTTTATTTTCGCACCTTTTGCTGCAGTTCATCTTGTCTCTGCCTCCTTCCAAGCCTTTTTGTTTGTGTGGCTCATCTATGGGCTGTCTATAGTAACTCCCCAGGTGACCCAGCTAAGGCTTTTGGAGAATTAAGTCATCCAATGCTAAATGAGAGTTTTTAAGAGTGCTATAATACATGAATGTTAAAGAAAGTAATTACAATCCTGCAGCTGCCTGTTCCTGCAATAACTTTTACTCATTTTTTCTTCCTAAATGTCATAAAGATCTGTCTTTTCATTCTTTCCCAACACATATCTTCATAGTAAAGAGCAGACATGTATCAATGTTGATGAATCTTTTACCAACTCCATCTCAGAAGTCAGATCTTTTAAGAGTTTATATTCATGATTGTCTGTAGTTGCTGCATATTATTAATTTTACTTAGAAGCTGCATTTTCTTGGAGCAATTTAAGGTGACCTTCCCTCAAGTAAAGCTGATTTCCTTCCTAGTCTTCCAGCTATGCAGAATGTTATATTGTCTATCTTTATCTGTTCCTAACCGGATCAAGCTGCAGTTTCTTTGGAATATGTGACGCTTTAATTTTTGCTTTTCATTTAACAGGGCTGCCGGCAGAAACAGTAGTAGACAGGTACGTTACAGTTGGTGCATACTGTCTGTTGCGATCCTGCACAATTGAGCCAGAATGCATTATTGGCCAGCACTCAATCCTTATGGAAGGTTCATTGGTGGAGACTAACTCTATCCTTGAGGCTGGGTCGGTGCTCCCACCTGGGAGGAGGATTCCAACTGGTGAACTCTGGGCTGGGAATCCCGCAAGATTTGTCAGGACCTTGACCCATGAAGAGATAAAAGAGATACCTAAGCTTTCTACTGCAATAAATGATTTGGCCAATGCTCACCACTCAGAATTTCTGCCTTACTCCACCGTATATTTGGAAGTTGAGAAGCTTAAGAAGTCATTTGGTATTTCGATTTAGAATTTTTGTTTTTTCGATTGTACTTGTTGGGAGGAAATAAGAAAATTATAAGACTCGTAAGTGAAACTTAGGGTCTGTTGTTTTTTTAAATGTGATTCTACAATCCGGCGGAGCAAATGTTTGTTCTGGATTTTCTTATAACACTCCGTTGTGTTTTCGGTCATCAATTTGGACATCAATACATCTCGAATATGCTTCGAGATTTCTTGTATTAAATTAGATGAAGAGCTGTAGGTTACTGGATCATTGTGTAAACCTCTCTGGTTAATGCACAGGAACTTGAATGGCCGCATGAGCTAATCGTAAGCATTTGTGGTTTTGCTTGAAGACATAATAAGTTCAATCCATTGATTTTGTTCTCCAAAATTTGGACGGGAATTCGAAATGTAGTATAATACTGCCAGTATCATTTTTTTCATGCAAGTTTCTTATCTCAACTATTTATTGTTTCCTTTACTTACCTAAACTATTACTCATTTTGTATTAAAACACACTTTGATGTTGAGTTGGTCAAATATTGTTCTCGCTAGACAATAGGTGCATGTAGACCAAATACCAATTCAACATTGAGGTGTGCTTCAATATAAATGGAGTGATTGTTTAGGCAGGTGTTTGAGATATCCTTTTGTATTAAAACACACTTCAATTCTGAGTTGGCCAAATATTGATCCCACTTGACAAGACAACATGTGTATGTAGACCAATTCAACAATGAATTGTGTTTCAATAAAAAGAGAGTGATTGTATAGGCAGGTGTTTGAGATATGAAACTCGTAAAAAAATAATAGTTTAAATGTATTTTTGATCATTAATTCTCGAATAATTAAGTGACCATCAGATGGAAGCCGTCAGAGGCAATGTTCCTTAATTTTCCAAGATGAAGAGCATAAAAAACTCTTGTGAATGTAGAAGGGTCAAATACCATCTTTTCCAAGTAATTTCTTTGGGCCACATAATGTGAGTGCTTCACAGAAAGGGACAAAAAAAATTGGTTGAACATATTTATTCCTTCTATTTTTTGTTTAATAGGTTAGGGAATCTTTAGTTTGTGTATGTCTTTATAGCCCATATAATCAACCAATCAGAAAAAGAATAGCTTACAATAATTGTATATAGAACAGGCAGGCTATCCACTAGATATTCTGGCAGGGGAGTACAAACTAATAATTGTGAAACAACTCAACAATTTGCTTCCACATTTCTTCTTCATTTGTTTATGTCGAATGTAAATTATTAATACTTTAATATTCCTACGATCAATAGTTCAAAAGTTAATTGTCAAAAACATATTTAAATTATTATTTTTGACGAGTTTTATATCTTAACTATCCATCTATTCTTCTTCAAACTTACCTAAACAAGTCCATAGTTTGCGTCGAGATGTGTTTTAATATAAAGAGAGTGATAAGGTATGAAATTTCTGAAAAGATGATGGTTCAGATAGGTAAATAAACTAATAAAATAGTTGAGAAATGAAACTCGCGGAAAAATATTTATTTATGTGTTTTTTTAATCATTAAGTACTCTAAAAAGTAGAACCATTTAACCAATGAAGACTACAATATTCTATGTGATCTTTGTTTGATTTTCTTAAAGTCTACATTTTCAACAGCATGCCACAAACGATAAATATTTTACTCTTCAAAGTTGGTGAATAATTAAGTTCAATTTTATACAACAATAAGGGTTGAACAAGTCCATTAGATAGATAAGCCTAAAGTAGAGAGAATCTGCAATAGACTATTTGACAAATTAAAAAAATTATTACTTGGGATAATCTAATTAATGTCATAAAATAAGCACAGCGTGTGGGTTTAAATAAAAATGTCAAAGAGATTTGTAAGCTAATTATTCATTTATTCTTCTACATGGATGGTTCCACAAAGCTTATTTGGGTATACATTTTTCTTAATGATATTTAGGAGTGTGACAATACTCCATCTGATCCATTTTACTTGTCATGTTTTTCTTTTTTACACCCCTTAAGAAAACATTAACTAAAATATTTTTGTGATCTTAATTTATTATGACCCTTTTTTTCACTACTCTTAAGAATTTTTTTATTAGATGAGTATTTTACTAAATAAAAATTATTTTAAGGATTGTATCAAGTCAGTATAAGTCAAGTAAAATAACGGAGGAAGCAATTAAGCAAAATATACGATCAATTGTAATGACAAATTGATGACGGAGTATTGACAACTAGGAAAAAGTACATTAATACTTTAAAAATGAGTAATTAGGTTAGGTTAACAATAAGTTGACAAATGATTAAAAAGCAAACTTTGTAAATACAAAGAAAAATATAATTGAAGGGACCTGGTTTTGTGACATATTAGGTGTTTTTCATCAACCACCACTATATATTTTGAAAATGCCCATTTGACTTGATATATATTTTTCTATCTATATAAACTCCAATACTACTAATTTTCTTTTCTTATCTTATTTATAGTTTGTTCTTCCTTTTTCTCCTCTCTAAATTAGGGTTAGGGTTCCATCATTATCAATATGCCGGCAATTATAATTAGGAATATTGCAAAAACACAAGTTCTTAGTTATTTGATGATCTACAAATTTTGAAGTTGGAAAGGTAAATTAGAAGTCTTTTTTTCCTTTTTCACTTTGTAGTTAATAGTATAGTAGAATGATGTTGGAATGGCTCAATCAAATCAAATTCCTCAAAGTATTGGGTCATTTCATTTGATTGAGCCGTGCCAATATCATCTTACTTATGCTCGTCCATCTTCTTTTTTTAGCTTGATTTCTGAGGTGATAGCTTAACTAATAGTTATTAAAAAGTGTCGTATGAAATTGAGATTAAGAAAGAAAACTGAATTTCTGAGATCATAATAATTAGTTTGAGTAATCAAACCCTCCTTTTTTATATCTTTATTTTTTAAATATTTTTTTTTCATTTCTATGGACAAAAGTGGTGAAACTGGTATATGATATATTTTGTTTATATATAAAGATTTGAAAGGTTTCAATGAGTTTTCACTAGTTTGATATTCATCTATAGATGAAACCTCCCAATATAGAACACGACATCATCATTTGCATTGACACAATTATTGAGATTTTATTGATTATTATAATAGTAAGCGTTGCGATATGAAATTTGTAGATGAAAAGTAACATGAAATATGAGAGAAAATTGTTCTTGTACCATAGTTTAATTTTTCCTTTTTAAGAAACTACATATGATGGAACAGTATTTGTAATTGGACAACCCTTTTATGTTTAGAGTCTAGCTAGTGAAGTTAAATTTGTATTGTCTGTATAGATAGAAGAATGTTTTATATATATATCTGTATTATATAGAAAAAAATCTCTCGTTGTTAAAATTTCTGACTCCGTTACTATCATATAATATTCGGAACCTTTCTATGTTGGGGCACACAAATTGTTTATGATAACCGAGTGAAACTCTAACCCGATGGAGTTATACTTGTTAGCAATTTTTTTTTAATCAAATTTGTTTGGTTGTTTAAAACTGTTTCTTCATAAAACTATTGTACATCTTGTGTAGAAATATTTTTATTATGAGCACAAACTAACGGTTACTATGTTGTTACAAGGTCATGTTGAATTTTTAATTAAGGCACTCTTAAAAGTAAAATTACACCATTTGGCATTATTGTAATGACATATATACTACAGTATATCGATTATAAGTTTTGTATAACATAAAGGGATTAGGTATAAGTACCTCTAGACTATGACCAAAATTTCAGAGACACACCTTAACTAAACTAAGGTCTTATTATTCCTGAACCCATTTTTTTTTATAATTTTGTACACCTTTTTGGCTTACATGGCATCCAAATATCTCTCATGCCTCAACTGCGTGGAGTCACATAGTGTGCCACGTAAGTCAAAAGGTGTACAAAATTACAAAAAAATGAGTTCAGGGGTAATAGGACCTTAGCTTAGTTAAGATGTGTCTATAAGAATTCGATCATAGTCTAGGGGGTAATTGTGCCTTATCCCTAACATAATTAGAGATAACTTTAATTTGTCAATGACGTTTACATCAAATATGGCTTTTCGATTTAGTGCTCCACAATAACACGATCCATCGTGTAAAGAATTAGAATTACATTATAGTAATTATGTGAGTAAATCCCACTTTATCTCTTTTTTTCTCACCCGATGTTCGATATCCATATTGAAGTCTAACTAAATTGAATTTTCGCCGGAAAATTGGGGTTAACAAAGGCTACTCTATATCTAGGAGTACTCGTCACTTTATCCCTTTGTTGAGAAAGGTTATCCCCTTCACATGCTGAATAAATGGGAATGATAAACCCCTTGCAGTATATTTTCGATGAGACTTTTCTTTTGTATGAATATAATTTTTTTCTTTTTTTTGCTTTCTAAAATTAAAATTAAAAATTTCATCTACCTCTTATTATTGTCTCATTTACCTATTTCGTTGAAAATAATGTTTTTTAGGATATAATAATATCTACTTGAAATAATCTGTTAATACATTTTAAGCTATGCTCCAACACCTTTGAGGTCCTTCCCAGCAACTAAAACGCTTCGAGACACTGCAACTCTTTTTGTTTTTTAAAGGGGTGTTGATTAGGGGTGTGCATTCGGTTTGGTTATATACTATTCGGTTTGAATTTTTTGGTTTTTGGTTTTGAAGAAGTGTAATCCAATCCGAACCAAAATAAATTTGGTTTGGTTTGATTTTTCTCTTTTTGGTTTGGGTTTTTTGGGTTATGTCAATAATTAGAAACATAACAAAGTTATATTTGCAATTTAAAAAAACTATATATATATATATATATATATATATATATAATATTGAATTTCTTAAATATACTTTTTAATATAAATCACAAGTAAAACGTAAAACACATTACTTAAAAGTATATCAATTATAGATGTCCAAACATAAAAAAATAAACTAAATCATAATGAAAATAACTAAAAAGGGACAAAAGTGGTTAACTCTAACTTAATTCTAAACATATATATACTAGATATTAGGTTCCCGCGCCAGCGCGGGCCCAATATATATTACTTCCTCCGTCTCATGTTATGTGAGGTAGTTTGATTCGCCACGGAGTTTAAGAAATAAATGAAAACTTTTAAAACTTGTGGTCTAAAATG